ATTTGACTGGTATTCTTCTCAGATTTCGTCAACACCCTGTTGCTTTAATATGTGATGTGGAGAAAATGTTCCATCAGTTCCACGTGTGCAAGGCAGACAGAGACTTTCTGCGATTCTTGTGGTGGAGAAGTGGAGACTTGAAAGAACAACCTCAAGAATATAGAATGAAAGTTCATCTCTTTGGAGCGTCTTCATCTCCAGGATGTGTGAATTATGGATTGAAGCATTTGGCTGAAGGTAATAAGGATCAGTATCCTTTGGGCTTTGACTTTGTAATGAATAACTTTTATGTAGATGATGGTGTTACAAGTGTCCAGACAACAGAGGATGCAATTCAGCTTGCTCGAGAAGCTCGAGAACTTTGCGCTATTGGTGGTCTTAGACTTCACAAATTTGTGTCCAATGACAAAGCTGTTCTGGGAAGTATCCCTCCTTCAGAATGCGCTAATGACTTAAAAGAACCTGATCTTTCATTTGACGATTCCTTGATAGAGCGAACACTGGGAATTCAGTGGAATGTGGAACTTGACTGTTTTAAGTTTGATGTTTGTCTCAAGGAGCAGCCAGCAACTCGACGTGGAATCTTGTCTATGATTGCATCATTGTATGACCCATTAGGGTTTTTAGCTCCATTCATCCTTCGTGGAAAGAAGATACTTCAGGAAGTATGTAGACAGGGTGTAGGTTGGGATGACTCACTGAGTTATGAGTTCCAGCCAAGGTGGGAGTGCTGGAAAAGGGATCTGAACAACTTGAAGAAAGTTACTCTTCTCCGCATATATGTTCCTTCTGCGTTTGGAAGGGTGAAAAAAGTGGAGCTGCATCATTTTTCGGATGCTAGTTCTAGTGGGTATGGGCAGCTCATATCTGAGATTAAAAAATGAAAGCGAAGATGTTCATGTTGCTCTTGTAATGGCAAAGTCTCGTGTGTCCCCGATAAAGATTACAACTATTCCGAGGTTGGAGTTAACAGCTGCAGTTGTTTCAGTAAGTGTCAGTAGAATCCTTAAAGAAGAGCTTCGATATACATTACTAAATTTTTTCTGGACCGACTCTAAGGTTGTTCTAGGATACATCAATAATGAGGCCAGACAATTCCACACGTTTGTTGCTAACAGAGTACAAAAGATTCATTTAAGCACTGTGCCGCAGCAATGGAGATATGTTCCAACAAAAGACAATCCTGCGGATCATGTCTCAAGAGGTCTCACAGTGGATGAACTGATCTCATCTAACTGGTTCACGGGGTCAGGGTTCTTGTGGAATAAGGAAATTGCCCTCCCATCTAGTGAAGTTCCAGAATTACAACTAAGTGACTCTGAAGTCAGAAGTTTTCAAACATTTAACACAAAAGCAATGGAGCAGGGAACTATTGTAAATCGCCTGTGCAAGTTTTCATCTTGGTCTCATGTGGTCAGAGCAATTGCACGCATTCAACGACGAATTAACAAGGATAAATCAAGCAGTCTTTCTACAGTTGAGGAGAGAGAAAGGGCAGAGTACCTAATAGTCAAACTTCTACAAAACCACGTGTTTCACACCGAACTGAAAGTGTTAAGTAAAGGTGCCCAGTTGTCATCTCACAATGAATTGTACAGCCTTGACCCATTTCTCGACAGTGACGGTGTGCTTAAGGTGGGATGACGACTTGGTAACTCTTCTCCTTGCCATTCACTTAAACATCCCGTAATTATTCCCAAAAACCATCATATTACAAGGTTGATCATAGCTGATTGCCATGAAAGAGTTAAGCATCAAGGTAAAGGGTTTACCATCAATGAAATCCGTTCAAAGGGTTTTTGGATCCCTGGCATTAATCGTGCTGTAGCATCTTATGTGCGTAATTGTGTCACCTGTAGAAAACATAGGCGACCAATGGAAGAGCAAAGGATGGCTGACTTGCCTTCAGAGAGAGTGAATCCCTCGACCCCGTTCACTTACTGTGGTATGGACTGTTTGGTCCATTTTCTGTGAAACAAGGATGAAAGGTGTATAAAAGATATGGATTGATCTTTACCTGTCTTTCTTCCCGTGCCATTCACATTGAGATGCTTGATTCTTTGTTAACAGATTCTTTCATTAATGGCTTACGTTGTTTTATTGCCTTACGTGGAGCAGTTAGACAGATTAAATCTGATCAAGGAAGTAACTTTGTGGGTGCAAAGAATGAGTTAACTAAAGCCCTCAAGGAACTTGACATTGAAAAGCTGAATTATTTCTTAGCTGAGAATCAATGTGACTTTGTCTTGAACGCACCAGGTGCAAGTCATACAGGAGGTGTATGGGAACGACAGATTAGGACTGTTAGAAGTGTTCTTCAGTCTACACTTTTGATGGCTTCAGAACGAATTGATGATTCCTCTCTAAGAGCATTCTTTTACGAAGCAATGTCAATTGTAAACAGTCGTCCACTCGCTGTTGACAATTTAAGTGATCCAAATAGTCTTGAACCAATAACGCCAAATCATTTTCTTACAATGAAATCCACTATTGCTTTACCCCCTCCAGGCAAGTTCACTAGAGAAGATCTATATGCCAGGAAAAGATGGCGCCATGTTCAATATCTTGCTGAACAATTTTGGAGTCGCTGGCGCAAAGAATATCTTTCCAATATTGCTGTTAGACAGCGCTGGCATACCCCTAGGAGAAATCTGTTAGTAGGGGATATAGTGATCGTCAAGGACAATGATCTACCCAGGCATAAATGGTCTTTGGGTAGGGTTGTAGAAACTACCATAGATTCAGATGGGCTTGTGAGGAGAGTCCGGGTTCATCTAGGTGATAAAAATTTGAGGGGAAATCTGAAGAGTTTTAGTAAGCTTTCTGTAATTGAACGTCCAGTCCAGAAGTTGGTTTTACTGTTGGAGGCTTGTTATTTCCTTTTTTTGTTTTTTCTTTGTTGTTTTCGTAATTATGTATTTTTATATGCATTGTATTGCGGGTCATGGTATTTTTGAAATCATTTGTGTATTGTGACTCATGATTTGGTGGGAGTGTAAAGGACTGCCAATTTGTTAACCGAATATATGAAGTCTGCACTGCGTTGCATTGACCCTTTTGTACGGAGCAGCTAAAGTACTCTTATTTTGAAATGAACTTAATGCAAATCGGACTGTATAAATTGCGACCCATTTCCGCCCATTTGGGTATGTGTGTGTGTGCACACTTTGTGAAGGATGCAGCCTGCAGTATGTGGCGTGTTTCTCTTCCTTTTATTGTACTTGTGCATCTCACTGAAAAGGGTAATAAGGTAAATGATTTTGTACATTGTATGATGCGTAATGTAATGTCCGGTTTCGTATTTGGTTTATGTATTGTTTGTTTTTGTTTTGTGTGTTTGTAGTTCTTACGGTGTCTACTTGAATGTCAACGGATTAAACATTTTCGGAAACATCAGTTAAAGAGCATTGACCATCATTTCAGTGGAGTAGCAACAGTGTTCAATATTAATAAATAGGGATGCACCGATACCACTTTTTCCAGTACCCGCCCCATACCGATATTTTTATTTTTGGAACTTGCCGATACCGAGTACCGATACCGATATTTTTATTGCATTTGTACATTTTTTAAATATTGGGTACAGAAACCAAAAGAGTATGTATAATGTTAGTTGGTTAACTACATTTATCAAATAGATACAGTCAAACCAAAATTTATTCAGACACCTTCAACATTTCTCACATTATCACAGTTTATTCGCTATAGTTTAGAAAATAGTAATAAAATATGACAAGAACTCAGAGTTACACTGTGTCAGAACAAATTCATCTTGATAATGTTAGATAATTTTGATAGAAATATATGATGATGCGATGATGCGTGTGCTAAGTGAGTGAACATCAAAGATCACACAACAGAATTGCGCGCGCGCTCTCTCTCTCTCTCTCGCTCTCTCTCTCGCTCTCTCTCTCGCTCTCTCTCCCTACCATTAAGTAACTTCTGCATTGTTTTACTTACTTGTTTTTGACATATCCGACCGAACTACAAACTTTCCAGTGATGTCAGTGAGAAAGATATATTCACTCGACAAGCTCGCGCATCTGCGCCGCCGCACGCTCAATCCACTCAGCGTGCTTTGTTTATCAGCTCACGCACATCAGCTATACAGGCGTTAATACTGAATGTTTAACATTATATTCATTGCATACATATACTTCGTAGTAGACATCCTTAACTCCTTTCTGCTGTCTGTTGTTCTGTTGTCGGTATTTCTTTGTTTGAATATGGCGCTTATCACATGCTGTGTGGTATCGGGGCATTTTAACGAGTACGAATACAGGAGACCAGTATCGGTGCATCCCTATTAATAAATGATCATTTTTGAAGCATCATGTGACAATGAATATTGGAGTAATATTTTAATAAATATTTAAACAGAATACAGTTATTTAAAATATTTTAAATTCAATATTTGTAATCAAATAAATGCAGCTGAGGAATCTTAACAATCCCAAATGTTTGAACAGTAGTGTATATATAAAATTACATACAATACATTTTCCATATAAATTACAATTTATTTCACATTAATATTAAAGTGAAAGTATTATTTAATAAACAGCGTACCATACCTACAGCAGTAATATGAATTTTTAATTCTACTTGCTTAAATTTGCATTCAAATTTACCAATTTGATCCTGCTTGCTGCTCAGTTCAAATTTAATTGAAATTTCTGAACTAATCTGGAATTTAAAAAGCATTCTCAGTTGGATTCTAAATACTTGCATGTAATAACCTTCTGCATTTGCCTGAATATGGACTGAATGAGTGCTCAGTAATTGTCAAGTTACTAGTATGCATTTAAATGACATTCTAAGTTAGTTGAGAGGAATATCCCGGTTGCACGTCACTTGTCATTTCCTGTCATGTAGAAATGTGCTAATAAACGGTCACATGCCAGCATGAAGTGAGATCAGATGGTTTGTGAGAGTAACCTCTATTAATTGACTGCCATATAAATCCCACAGTGCTATGAGAGCAGCACTCAGGTACTCACGGTTGCGTTTGCTTTCCTCATCTTCCTCCTCATTCTCAGGGTCGATGTCTTCGGCTTGCGTGATCCAGTCCAGATAACCTTTCAGATCTTCCTCCAGCTGCTGTTTCTCCCGTAGCTTCTGGAAATCTCCACGAGCCTTCGCCTTCTCTCGCTCTTTAGAGAACTCCCTGGTTCAGGAAAACACAGTTTTACTCTCAGTACACTAACAGTCTTCAAAATATACAATGGCCCACAAAATGTATTTAACATTTAACCTAAACCACACTTTAAAAAGTGTAGGAATGTTATTACAAAGTAAAATATCAAACCAAGCAACACTGAATTTCAGATAGATGGCACTTTTCAAGCATAACATTTCACAAAAAGCCATTTGTTTGGTTTAAATAAAACAACAGATTTTTATTTTGCAATAACATTTTTAGAATTTAAAGTTCTCTTGAAATGGGCTCCCTTCAAATGGCTCCCTTATAATTATATAGGCATTGCTATTGTTCAGAACCAATTTTCATTGTGATGGACATGACTATTAAAAATATATATTTATTTTAATTTATTTTATTTTTAGTAATAAAACAAATGTTTAGTTTATTTGCTATATTTAGAATAGAAATAAAGCATACTTTTGTGTCCCAGGAAAATCATTTTCTGAATGTGATTCTAAATACGAATCTCTAAATATGAGTCAAATAGATTTCAGATTATAAAGTTATACTAAACACCTTGTGACCCGGTTAATGTTCAGAATGGATTTTTCAACCTGCTAAAAACAGTTCAAACTAGTTTTGACCGTCATAAAATACAAGATAGATGTTATTATTAGAGCTTAAAAAGATGACAATGCTGATCAGTTTCAGGCAGAAGTATTAATATTGAATAAGAAATCTTAGAAAAAAATCTTCTAAAATAATGCAGAATAATAAAATACCTTTGTATTTATTAATAATAAGTTATTTTAAATTAATTGAAATAAATAATTATAAATTAATAGAAATGTATTTAATATGAATTTAAAATTAATTAATTAATTAAGAATAATTAAATAATTATAAATTTATATATATTTATTTTATTATTCTGCATTATTTCAGAAGATTTCTTAATATTTATATTAACATATATTATAACAGCATTTTATATTTACATTATTTAAATTAATAATAATAATAATAATAATAATAATAATAATAATATAAAAAGCCATTTAAAAATTTATTACATGTACACTAAAAGTAGGAGGGGGACAATGGTTTGATTCAGGGCTTTGCTAGGTGGTTGTTGGCTCAGGTCACTCGTTTAATTAAAATCAATGAGATTTTTTCACAAGTTTTAATTCCACAATGTTTAATATTCACGTAATATTCATGTAAAACACTCCTTTCCCAAACAATGTGCAAAAATCATGTATTATTCATGTGTGTAACACAAACTGTTCCACTTCAAAATATAATACCAGAGGTTAGGGGTTTGATCAAATTACAAACTAATGCACATGTTCACCATATTGACACACAGCTAAACCTAAATATAAACGCTTCAGTGTCCTGCCAGCAGGGTGCATGCTTGTCCACAAAGGACCTGGAGAATCATCACACTCAAATGCACTCGGAAAGGTCACACAACGTGTGTGTGGCCTCCTTAATAAAATGGCAGAAGCACAAAAATGGAACCCAAGCCTAATTTAGAAAGATTGCTGGATCTGCAAATTGTATACGTTGCACCACGGGCACAGCATCTGCGTCTCTCGTGGTGGAATATTAATAACCCTGCAGCTCTAAGAAATGGCTTTAGGACTTACGGACACAGGAAGGAGATTAATTTTCAGCTTGGCATCAATGGAATAAAAATATGCATTTTAAAATATAGTAAAACAGAAAACAGTTATTTTAAATAATAATAATAATATTTCACAATATCTTTTTATCATAGAAAGGCAGCCATGCTGAGAATAAGGGGCTTCTTTCAAAATATTACCTTACTTACAATATCTTAATGGTCTCAAACTTGAACGTTGTATTTAAGTGCTGAATTGCTAAAACATCTTAATGACAGATGGGGTTTTTTTATGTTTCTGCTGAATTAGCATCATTCACCTGCTTGCCCTAGTCCTGTAGTCTAAACTATTTCATTTCTCTTCCATGACTTTCATGAGTCTGAATCACTTCCTCTCTCATAGTGTTTCATTCTGTCCTTCAAACCGTTTTACTGAATAATATCATCAGTTGAGAACAAATCAACCCAGCAGACGTGAGGATCATTTCACAGCACACAACACATCAGAAACACCTGAAACCTGAAAAAAACAAAACCTAGAAAGACAGTCATGGAAAAAGGATTGCAGACATCCAAAGCAGATGAATCTGTAATTGCACCAATTTACAATGAAACTATATCTGTTTCAGTTTTCAGAGAGAGTTCTTTTAACATAAATTAGAATAAAAATAATTTCACTATAAATGAAAATAAGACGATAAATGCGTTCACTTACACTAAATGCCTTAGGACCCAGTTAACGTTCATGCATATGGAAATGCATTCAGTTTAGCCCAGTTTGGACCATTATAAAATCAAAGACAGTTGGGTTTTAAATATTAGATAACCATCCTAATATGTTACTCGTGTAAATTGTTTTGTTGCCCAGTATTCAGTACAGCAGTACAGCAAATTATCTAATAATTTGTTTATTAAATTTAATTAAAGTATATAAATTATTTATTTCAATAATCAATCATGCATATTATTAGTATTACTAATAATAAACTGCTACTTAATAATTAATTTAAAGGGGTCATATGATGCTTTTTTAAAGATCATTATTTCATGTATTTGGTGTAACAGAATATGTTGACATGCTTTAATGTTCAAAAAACACATTATTTTTCAAATACTGTACATTATTGTAGGTCCTTTATGCCCGGCCTCTCTCAAACGCTTAGTTTTCTACAAAGTCCCTCCTTCCTATTAGCGCAGTCTGCTCTGATTGGCCAGCTGACCCAGTGCATTGTGATTGGCCGAACACCGCAAGCACTCATCGGAAATGTAACACCTCTTACCATAATCGCGAGCTTCATCTTTCAAAATAAATGTAAAGACAGAGCCTGAAAGGGGAACAGAGTCGCGTGACGGTTACTGAAACCACGCCTTCTTTCTTTGCATGAACATTTGGGCGGCATTATGCTAATATTCCCACATAGTGAGGTAGATATGTGGGGGCGTGTTAGAATGGAATGGCAGAATCTTAACTTTGATAAAGAATAACTCTTTGGTTTTGAGACTTTAGTCTTTGCAACTTCAGGGATCTTATCTATGCACAATCAGCTTGTAACACTCCAAAGAGAAAGGAAAACTTGAAATCGCATCATATGACCCCTTTAAACACTTGGTTTACTTATTATTATTTCTAATTATTATCAATACTCAGAACATTACATGACAAAAAGTTGCCCATTTAAGCAAATTCACTCTCGTTTTATGAAAAATAACCAGATAAGTTTGCAATTTTTGTCCATGACATGACTATTGATCCATAATCAGGTCTATCATCAAACTTCATGCTGAACCCCATGCAGGAAAAACTTCAGATATGATGCTGAGAGAAATGACCAGCAGACAGAAGAAAAGCACAGCAGTCTTCACAGCACACAATCTCTTACCCACTGAGTACACCCAGCACAAGATTCAACACAAAAAACGAGCCCAGAATGATCAGACTAACAAAGTAGATCCATGGCGTCTCCCAGCCGATGGCGTCATTCACCTACAGGGGCCCAAACAGGATGGTTAACCCACAGAGAGAGGCTACATTTAGCTGTGAGAACCTCCAGGGATGGAGTTCAGTCTCAGGAGAGAAAGAGAAACTGGAGATCAGGCGCCGTAGTGAAAAGAAAAGAGGAGCTGCTCACCCGCTCAACACACCCAGAACCAGGTTCAAGACGAAGAAAGAGCCGAAGATGACCAAGCTCACAAAGTACACCCAGGGCAGCTCCAACCCCATAGCTTCATTCATCTGAGAGAGGAGAGGAATGAGGAAGAGAAAACGAGGTGACGGATGAAAGATTAAGTATGAAACAGAAACTGTAAGGAGAAGGTTAAAAATAGGTCTAGAGAAGACGTTCTGCTCAAAATCAAACAGGATTTCAGTTTTAACACATTTTGAGGTTTTGAATAAATACCAGAAGGCTTTCACAAGTATAACTTCTAATAAAAAATTTGAGTGTAGGATGAAGTCGATATAAAGGAAAGATAAAGGAGAAGTCCCACACACTGGCTATGAGCTTGCAAAAAGAATAGTATTGAACAAGTTAGGTTTCAAAGACCTTTGTCAGGCATGTTCTTTAAATAAAATAAATAAATACATTTATATATAAACCTTTGTCAGGCATGTTCTTTAAATAAATAAATAAATACATTTATATATAAACCTTTGTCAGGCATGTTCTTTAAATAAATAAATAAATTTATATATAAACCTTTGTCAGGCATGTTCTTTAAATAAATAAATGCATGAATATAAAAACCTTTGTAGGGCATTTTCTTTAAATAAATAAATAAATACATTTATATATAAACCTTTGTCAGGCATGCTCTTTAAATGAATAAATAAACTTGTATATAAACCTTTGTCAGGCATGTTCTTTAAATAAATAAATGCATGAATATAAAAACCTTTGTAGGGCATTTTCTTTAAATAAATAAATAAATACATTTATATATAAACCTTTGTCAGGCATGCTCTTTAAATGAATAAATAAACTTGTATATAAACCTTTGTCAGGCATGTTCTTTAAATAAATAAATGCATGAATATAAAAACCTTTGTAGGGCATTTTCTTTAAATAAATAAATAAATACATTTATGTATAAACTTTTGTAAAGCATTTTCTTTAAAAAAATATTTAATAAGAAAAATTATATACATATATAATACATACATACACACACACATACATGTGTATGTATTAAAACATGTATATATTTCTATTGATTTTATTCTTTAATAAATAAATATTTAGTAAATAATTTAATAAATTAAGAAATATCTATCTATCTATCTAAGTTACATTTCAGAAACCTTTGTAAAATTTTTTTCTTTATAATAAATAAATAAATCAATTAATTAATACAAAATTCATTTAAAGGTGACATATCATGAAAATCTGACTTTTCCAGGTTTTAAGTGCTATAATCAGGTCCCCAGTGCATCTACCAATCAACGAAATGTGAAAAAGATTAACCCAGTAACTTTGTTTTGGGAAGCCTTTTTCAGGGGTTAAAGAAAAAAAAATCCTGAGCCTGAACTTTTTTCCGGGAGCGGGGCAGCACATGCAAAGCATGCAATGACTGTGGCAACTTTAACATTTGAAAGGATACTATGGCAAAGTTATTGCTTTCTTTATTCAAAAAGATTTTTTTTTCATGAATATATGGTTGACCTGAAGAATAAAAGCTGTATCATACACTTGGAAAATTATGAGCTATATCACTGCTTATTGACACTAGGGGTGTGACAATACACTTAGCTCACGAGATGAGACAAAATACAGATACTTGGTTCACTAGAACGTGACAATATTTTAATACTATTTTTAAGAAATTTTCAATGACAAAATATTTGTCTTTTAATTATAAAAAGTAAAACAATGCAGTTGTATTTAGAAATATTTTAACTAATCTAGGGCTGTAACTAATTATATATAATCAAGTAATCTACTGATTATTTTGACAACTGAGCAATCTGATATTTTTAGTAACAAACAGACCTCAGTGAAAATCATGCTTTAGTATGACTATTTATATATAAACTAATGATGAGGCAATAATAATTGGCTCAAATAAAAGATCAAAACCAAGAAATTGCATGATTGTATTGAACAACACTGTTAAAATACATAATGTAATATGCCAATACATAATATGAACATAACCAACTTAAGTACATTATGTATTAAAACAAACCTACATAGGGTGCCAACGGCCTGGTGACGTTTCGCTTTACAGCGTGATTAAACGATCTTTAAATCCATTTAATTTTAATATTTGGCCACATGCAGAAACTTTTATTTTGAAATCGCGATGTACAATACATGACATATTTAGACATAGGTTGATGTATTCTCCTGTGTTGGCAAAGGTTTATAAATGATTTACGTTACAAATCTAGTGAGATAATGCACACTGTTTTCCCAGATGAATGCAATTCAAATTCACAGCATATGCTGAGGCAGAGTTTAGCCCCGTTCACACACACAGTCTTTAGTGGTAAATTACCAGCAAGTTACCATTAATAGAACATGTGTAACCTGGACCTTTTCAAAAATCCCGGGAAATTTGTCCTGGCAATCATATCGTTTTATGGAGATGACATGATTACTCTGAGCTGTTTACAAAGCTCCGCTGCTTCCTAATTAGCTTTTCTATGTAATTATACGCTAGATGGACATCTGTGAACATTGTGCCTCGCAGCTTTTTCAACGTGTCGCGCTTCTCCATTCATCAGGGCTGCGTCTCTGCAGTTGGATACTAATGCGCGTCTCGTGTTTATAAGAGCAAAACATTCTGATTGGCTAGTAATGTTAGTTTGGTTGAGAGTGAAAGCTGTGCTCCTCTCATACCATTGGTAGGTGAACTCATGAACTGGAAAAGTGATATCAATCAACAAGATTTGTTTTTTAAATGTAGGACTTTTTTTTTCCACAGCCAAACGCTGCACGCCGGAGATCCGGCATGGTGCCAGAGAACTTTAAGCCCTACTTTTTCTGCGTCTGAGAAAACGAGCGCATCTGATTTTCGCTCCCTTGGTGACGTGGCAAAGGGATCTCATTATAATATTACCGCCCCTTAATCTGCATGTTTCCACCCACAGCGCCGATATTGTGTTTTCGCAAGCGACAACGATGTATTAATTCTAATGCCAATGTCGAAAGTTTGAGCAAAGCATCCAACTGTTCTGTCTTTGGTTGCACAGAAGAGCACAAAACACTATTTAGAGTCGCAGCCTCAGAGGAGACAACAGAGCAGTGGATTTATTGATTTATTTAATGTATATTTCTGCTGCCACACAGATTTAAAATAAACATGCAATTTATTTCCCAGCTGTTTACCTTCACAGACATAACCGACTGTTTTTGTAACTCGTGTGTTTTTAACGTAAACTTGTGTGTGAATGAGAACTTAGATTAGTACTCACATGCTGTGACAGCCGCTTTCTGTCCGTGTGCTTTGGATATGTGCTCTCAGAAAACCGTATATCAGAAGTTTAAAATCGTATGGTTTAAAACGCATGATTTCAGCACAATAAACATGATAATCAGAACCAAAACAGATGTTTTTTAGTAGGTACGAGCAGCTTATTTGCATTTAAAGAGACAGGCCAAAAAACAGCGTGTTTCTGCGTCCACTCATAATAGACATTTTCAAAATGATATAATAAATGATCTATGGAGTATTTTGAGCTGAAACTTTACAGACACATTCTGGGGACACCAGAGACTTATATTACATATTGTAAAAAGGGGTATAATATGTCTCCTTTAAACACAATTGGTCTCTAGTCTACTAAATTAAATCAATAAAAAACTTTTTCAGGAGGCAAGTTGCACTACCTGGCTGCATTATGCATATTTACATGTTAAATTTGTGCATGTGAAATAAGCAGTTACTAAGAATTTTGGGGGTGATTCACAGGAAATCTATGCTGAAAATCTAAAGTTTATGCCGCTGTAAATGAACAGTGTGCTGTGATGAAATGGAGGAACGATTTTCCAGTGGATGATGTGAAAGGTGGGTGGATCTCGTCAGAGCACACTGGTCAGTCACAGACCCTTGAGTTCCTGCTTGAGTGTGTGGGCTGCTAGTTTGAGCATCTCACACTCTCCTCAAAGCAGTAATGACGGTACGAGCCCTTCATCCTCTCTAACTATTGACTAACATTCATTATACAGTACACCAACAAGACGACATGCTAGTTAGGATGCGAGAGGAAGTAGCAAGCTAATACTAACCCAGTAGAGCACATCCGTCCAGCCCTCCATAGTGATGCACTGGAACACAGTAAGCATGGCAAACATGAAGTTGTCGAAGTTCGTGATGCCTCCGTTGGGGCCATGCCAGCCCTCCTTACACACAGTGCCGTTAATGGGGCATGTGCGGCCATGACCGTTAACGGCACACGGAGCGGGTTCATCCTCTATTATATCTGCAGAAAGAGGAGAGAATGTCAAACCTAAACACGCATAATAGCTATAAACCCTAGTGAAAAATAAATATACTAAAATGTATTTGAAATACATTTATTTCATACTAAGTATACTACAAATACATACTTATGTACTTAATAAAAATACCCTGCAACTGTACTTTTAGTATACTAAACTGGAATACTTATAGTCTGTTAAATTGGAACAACTAATTTTGTACTTAATGCACTTTAATTGTGTGGAAGTAGTGCTGAAGTCCAACTAAAGACAAACTGAAGTATATTTGATTGTGCGAAAGTGGAACTGTTGCAAGTATACTTCAGATACACTTTAAATATCTCACATTTAAAGACTGATATTATTCAAAGATCATACAATCCTCATCAATAATGACATTAAAACATTTTAGGCTTAATATTAAGAAATGTGCATTGTGCACAAGTAGTACTCCAAATACAGTTAAATTACATTTTTTTATATCAGTTAGTTTCGAGAGATATGTCAGTAAATATGTTAAAAGGTTTGAATTATACTTAGTATGAAATAAATGTATTTTAAATATATTACTTCTTTACTAGGGAACACTTTCCAACAATTCATATGAATCTCAATGTGTTGAAAATATGAATCTATATAATATCTACACTGTAAAAAAACTATTTTTGTAAATAATTTTGAAATTTAATTGGGATTTCTGAGGGAAAATCATTTCTACACCATTTTTTTTGTGTATGTATCCTACAGCTATAATAATCATAATAATCAGTTCGGAAAATACAGAAAATATTACACAGAAATCAACAATCTCAACCACATCATGAAGTGTCCATATGATTTACACACTTGATATTGCACTCAATTGTTTGCAAACACTAATGCTAGCATTGCTAATTTATTCCAAGTTTGTTGCACAAGCCACATGGACTATTTTTGATACATTTTTGGAGATTAACAGACATGTAATGCTTTTACGAACAGTTCTAAATCACATTGATCTTTTTTTTTTATTCACTAGTGTTCAAAATATTAGGATCACTAAGATTCATTAAGATTAATTAATACTTTTATTCAGCAAGGACACATTACATTGCTCAAAAGTGACAGTAAAGACATGTATAATATTACTAAACACAAAACAATAAGCAGCACAACTGTTTTCAACATTAGCTATGTTTCCATCCAAAGTTTCGAATTAAACATATGCGCAAAATTGGAATATCGCATAAAACATTTGCGAATAAAGCATCGTTTCCATCCAGTGAGATGAAGAGAACAAAATCATCACTTCCTGATTAACTTGCGCTAAATACCACAAAGAAAAAATAAATTTGCTGCAGTTGGAGAAGGCACTGTATACAATAATTTTTGTATACAATAAATTACGAGCTTCAGAGTGCGCAGAAGAAACGCGGTCAAGTTATCTTATTTTCGGAGCCTGCTGTTTAGGGAATGCAGTTATGGGAGTTAATTATAATGAAGCACTTTGACGAGATTTTGCTCAAGCATTTTAGAATGACAAAACTAGCATTTCAGATGCTGTGCAATGAGATCGGTCTGTTGATTAGTCCAGTTTTATGTTGTCCCATTGCAAAATCACATGTCTTTTTTGATGCGCATTAAGGAATTTATTCTGTAAAAGTGTTTCCATCGTAGTTTACGCGCATGTTTTCTTACCGGATAAGAAATTTATCCTACTAAGTTGAGCGCATAAGTTTTTTATGCGCATCTTGGCATTTCCATCCAGCGTTTTTTTATGCGATATCCCAAAATGCGCATAAAAATAGGTGGATGGAAACATAGCTATTGGTAACAATAAGAAATGTTTTTTTTAAGCAGCAAATCAGCATATTAGAATGATTTCTGAAAGATAATGTGACACAGAAGACTGGATTAATGATGCTGAAAATTCAGCTTTGCATTACAGGAATAAATTACATTTTAAAATATATTAAAATATTAAACAGAAATTTTAAACCCTAAAAATATTTCACAATATTACTGTTTTTACTAGGGCTGCCCCCTAACAGTCGACTAACCATTAGTCGGTCAGAAGAGGCTTGGTCGACCAAAATTTTATTAGTCGCAGAAAAAAAAATTCCACAGGCGAAGTCAAGCAGTCCGCGATGGACAGACAGCTAACGTTAACGGCTGGTCTATGGTAATACAGTACATCCAAACACTCGCCTATCATTCATCGACCTCAAATATGGCTTATCATCTGAAATATGTAAGTATTAGCATCTTTACATGGCCGCTCAATCTAATGTTAACCTAGAGAAATGTGCGCTACTGAAGTGTCTGAGCAGTGTGTGAACTGTAGCGCACACACTGCAGGACAGATGGAGGCACCGGTGCGCTCACTTGCTCTTAAAACACTCAATAGTCATTTTTGGTCATACAGATAAGAGTAATACACCTTTTGAATCTGTAAAGACTCTACGTTTATTGGCGTGCATTTACAATAACAACAAAACATGCTTTTTAAAATAATGAAAGCAAACAGGATGTGCTTTCTGCTGTCTTGGTCTCTGTGAACATGAGTGCGAAACTCCAAAACTCTGTGTATATTTGCCTTACAGATATGAAAACATATCTACAGAGAGCAAAATGTCTACTTTCAAATGAACCAATTCAAATGGAAAACAATATTCTCAGATTATGTAATCCGTGTGAAACATGCACACAGGCGCATCACTACTGCGGGGATGACGCGTCAGTGTTGCCAACTTCATCTCTTAATCTAAAACCAAAGAAAGCACTAATGTATCAATACATTATTAAAATGTTAATGCAGCCTCCTTACTGTTCTTACTTGACACATTCATAATCATTACTTCTGCCAGTGTGCTGTGGCAAGCTTTATGCGTGTGCTTGAGTGCTTATTAGGCTATGTGGGCAATTAAAGGCTTATTATAATGATTTAAATGGTTTATTGATAAATGTGCGATTAGTTGACTAATGCTTCAAATGAACGACTATTAGTCGACCAGAAAAATCTTTAGTCGAGGGCAGCCCTAGTTTTTACTGCATTTTTGATCAAATAAATGCAGCATTTGTGAGCAAAAGACTTCTTTCAAAAACTTTTTTTGTAAATCTTACCAACCCCAAACTTTTGAACAGTACTGTAAGAGAATTTATGTTGCCATAGAGGTTAAACACACCTGTCCCTTGAAAGTAACAGGTAGCGTGCATTTTTCCAATGAAAAGCTCCAAACCGATGATGGCGTAGATGATGATGACAAACAGAACCAGCAGAGCGATGTGGAGGAGGGGAACCATGGCTTTAATGATGGAGTTCAGCACCACCTGTAAACCTAGGGATATGCAAAACTACATAAAAACGCATGTATACACACACAAATTGACACATTCACATCGACCGAGTGTTCACTTGGGTGCATTTAAGTCCAAACTTTCACATCTAACTCAAGAGTGCATACACACAGACACACACTAGTGTCTTTAGGGCATTGCGTTTGACAGCTTGTTCTCAGAGAACGTTCCTGAGGGGATGCAGTAAGGAATGCTGCACTTTTCCTGCCATATGGCCACGTCATGTGCCATCATCTCTCACCAAACATCCACCCCTCAGCGGGGGTCTGGCGCTCTCTGGGGACTCCGAAGGGGATGCTGTCAAAGTGCCTCATGATTAGTGTTGTGCAAAACTACTATACATATTTCTAGAAAACTAATAGTCGTGGGCTGTCTGAATGACTAGTCGACTAAGCCTTGAATATGTAATCAGCTTCACCTAACCTTTATTGAACTTCTTTTTTCCCTACAAAATGGTTTTTACCTTGCTAAACCACTAAATTTAGGCCTATGTCACGCAAAGCTTTTTATCATTTAACTAAAACTAAAACCATAAAAACATCTGTCACTTGAAACAAAATAAATGTTAATTAAAATAAATAATTGTAATAATCCAGTGAGTCTGACAAAGGTCAGTTTCTCTTTTTTTAGTTTAACTTAAAGTAATAATAAAAATTATTAATTATTAAAAATTATTAATACAAACTATAGACATATTTAAAAAAAAAAAAAAATCAAAAACAATTAAATGATGAAAACACACAACACAAATGACTAAAACTAAAGTAAAAACAAAAAATATAAAATTTAATTAAATAAAAAATAATAGTTACTACTAAAATAGTAACTACTATAAAATTATACTAAAATAACAATGTCACAATATTAGCGAAATTACAGTATATATACTGTAAAAAGTGGCAAACTACAACTGTTACCTTAAAGAGTCATTTCTACCTGATTTAACCCATAAAAATTATGTTTGTTTGCGTAGATTATTGTATATTGGTAGGTTCAGTGAAGTTAAATAATATTTTTGACTTCTAGAAAACCAGTTAAATTACATTTTCAGTGTGCTCACTATAATTGAAGACTGTAAGAAATAGGGACTACCATTATGTATTATTAGTAGCTGCTAATGACGAAGGTTTTTTTTTAACTCACTGGGCACTCCTGAGACCAGGCGAAGCGGTCGCAGCACTCGAAAGGCTCTGAGGGCTTTGACATCAAAACCTCCTGATTTCCCACCATGGCCGTGAGCGGACGGGTGGCTTCCAACAGATTCCTTCTCCCCATCTTTGGTCAGAATTTCCAAGACAACACTAAACAATCTGGAGGAGAAAAGAACAATGAACCAGACAAATAACTCATCGATACCACAAAATATCAATAAAATATAAATAAAGAAATATATATGGGTTGGTATCTTTACCTACACATTTCAATAAATGTATTTACTGATTGTTTCTATCTTACAAGCCTCAACCAAACCAAACCAAATGCTTTGTTTTAGCCTGATTCAAATATAGATCAAATCCAAAGATTTCAGGCTATGTTTACACTAGTGCATTTTATTTTAAAATGCATAACTTTTGCTATGGTTACGCCTGTTGTTTACACTACTCCAGCGTTTTCGACCCTCGAAAACCTCAAGATTTTTGAAACCGTTTTAGATTGAAAAGTCTGGGGTTGCGTTTCAGTGTAAACTGACCAAAACAGAGTCTTTTGAAAACGATGGCATGGCTGCCCACATTCGATCTGCGTATCCTTGACGACCGTGTAAACAATAACAACATGCTCATTGTTGTACCATAGATATGTAAAGGTAGATTCTCCATTTGACCGCTCTAAGCACGTAGATGCGTCCGCCATCTTGCAACGGTCAACTTGACGTCATTCACCATAATATGGGTTCGCAGGCCATCGGCTGTGCAGGATTGTGGCATCTTCGAATATTCATTGATTACTATGGTGAAAGACGTCAAGTTGATCATTACAATATGGTGGACGGCTTACGTATAGCGGCCCATTTAAACAGTTGCTAATGAGGCATCTAAGCATACGTACATATCTATAGTTGTATCTGCATGAATGGTTATGCAACATGCATTTTCGGTTGTGTAGTGTGGATGGAGATCATTTCTGAAACGCAGTGAAAACACCAGTGTAGACCAGGATCGTTTTCATTTTAAAACGCTGTGTTAAAACGAAAGCACACCAGTGTAAACAGGGCCTCATTTCACATTTCTTGTGAACTGGACTGCAACAGCATTGTTTTAGAACTATTTATATGAAGTGCACCCGGAAAGTATGCACTTCATACTTTCACAGCGCTTCACTTTTTCCACATTTTGTTATGTTACAGCCTTACTCTAAAATGGATTAAATTAATTATTTTCCTCAAAATTCTACAAACAATACCCCATGATAACAATGTGAAAGAAGTTTAACATCTTTGCAAATTTATTAAAAATTTAAAAAATTTAAAAAATCACATGTACATAAGTACTGTATTACCATTCTTTGCCATGACACTCAGGTGCATCCTGTTTCCACTGATCATGCTTGAGACATTTCTACAACTTGATTGGAGTCCACCTGTGGTAAATTCAGTTGATTGGACATGAAAGGCACACACCTGTCTATATAAGGTCCCACAGTTAACAGTGCATGTCAGAGCACAAACCAAGCCACGAAGTACAAGGACTTGTCTGTAGACCTCCAAGACAGGATTGTATCAAGGCACAGATCTGGGGAAGGGTACAGAAAAAATTCTGCAGTGAAGGTTCACAAAAGCATGTAGTCTCTGTTACCCTTAATGGAAGGAAGTTTGAAACGATGAGGACTCTTCCTAGAGCTGGCCTCCTGGCCAAACTGAGCAATTGATGAAGAAGGGCTTTGGTTAGAGTGGTGACCAAGAAGCTGATGGCCACTCTAGTTGAGCTCCATGACCATACTGTATGTGGAGATGGGAGAAACCTACAGAAGGACAAACATCACTGCAACACTCCACCGATCTGGGCTTTATGGCGGTGTAGCCAAACTCAATCCTCTCCTCAGTGAAGACGCATGAAAACACACTTGGAATTTGCACCAAAAAAAGCACCTAAAAAAACCCTCAGACTCCGAGAAACAAGATTCTCTGGTCTGATGAACCTCATTTCCAAGCATCATGTTTGAAGGAAATCGGGCACTGCTCATCACCTGCAGAGTACCATCCCAAAAGTAAAGTGTGCTGGTAGCAGCCTCATGCTGTGGGGCTTTTTTCCAGCGGCAGGGACTGAGGGACTCATAAAAGTAGAAGAAAAGCTCAATGGATGAAAATATTGCGATAGCCTTAATGAAAACAAGAGCATTCGGAACCTCCGACTGGGCAGAAGGCTCACCTTCCAACAGGACAATGACCCTAAGCACACAGCAAGAGTGGCTTATAGAAAACTCTGTGAATGTCCTTGAGTGGCCCAGCCACAGCCTGGGATTGAACACAATCAAATATTTCTGGAGAAACCTGAAAATGTGCATCTGCCCCCATCTAACCTGACAGAGCTTGAGAGGTGAAGAGACGAGAAGTACGGCAGATAATTGCCAAATGATGATGATCAAAGCTCGTCGCATCATACCCGAAAAGACTTGAGGCTGTAATTGGTGCCAAAGGTGCTTCAACAAAGTATTGAGGAAAGGCTGTAAAATGCTTATGTATGTGATTTTTATTTTTATTTTATTTTATAAATTTGAAAGATTTCAAACAAACTTCCTTCAAGTTGTCATTATGGGGTATTTGTAGAATTTTTAGGAAAATAATGAATTTAAACCATTTTGGAATAAGGCTGTAACAACAAATAGTGCAGTGGTTCTCAAACCTCTCCATGAAGTACCCCCAGCACTGCACATTTTGTATGTCTCTCTCTATAGCTGTGTCTCATTTAGAAGGCTGTGCCCTCCGGAGGTCGAATCCTCTGTAGGATGCAGGAGATAATTGCCAAATGATGATGATCAAAGCTCGTCGCATCATACCCGAAAAGACTTGAGGCTGTAATTGGTGCCAAAGGTGCTTCAACAAAGTATTGAGGAAAGGCTGTAAAATGCTTATGTATGTGATTTTTTTTTTTATTTTATTTTATAAATTTGAAAGATTTCAAACAAACTTCCTTCAAGTTGTCATTATGGGGTATTTGTAGAATTTTGAGGAAAATAATGAATTTAAACCATTTTGGAATAAGGCTGTAACAACAAATAGTGCAGTGGTTCTCAAACCTCTCCATGAAGTACCCCCAGCACTGCACATTTTGTATGTCTCTCTCTATAGCTGTGTCTCATTTAGAAGGCTGTGCCCTCCGGAGGTCGAATCCTCTGTAGGATGCATATACGAAGTGGCCTCAACCTAGAATTAAACGAGACGGCCTTCGTAGGACAGGCGGAAAAGGAAACCAGAAGTATCACGTTGCTATGCCAACAAATTTAGAGCATCATTCCGCTCTCACACTACTTAATTGAAGGACAATTATTTCTAAATTTGGAAAGTAATTTGAAAAAAAAATGCTTATACTTGTTTTATTTTGTTCAATGTTTGAGGAGTTGCAGCGTACGTACAGCAGACATCTGTTAGAGAGAAAAAAGGAGCAGGATTATGAAGGTAGAATGACGTCAAAAAGATTTGCATACGCAGGGTAAGAGTTGTGGAAGTGTACATAAGATTAAGCGTAAATTAAATTTGCATGCGCAAGAGAAGCTTTGTAAAGGTGTAAATCGCGTTTCAAGTGCAAGAAAAAATTATTTGCAGCATTTTACTGTTATTCGTAAGTGTAATTCATGTATTGTGAAACTGCAGCTTCATGCTAATGCAAAATAAATATGATCTGCACGCTTCTGACTTCCATTTTTCCGCGTTTTTTTCGCCAAAAGATGGTCAAAAGCACTGCAAGCCTGTGAACAGTGATTTGCAAGCGAAAACTACAGTTTAAAGAACTGCAGAACGGATTGACTGCATAGAACCAATCTGTATGTGTAAAAAAACTAACTGTTGCAAATGTCTAAATGACTTGTTGTGCATGTGGGGCAAAAAGTTCCCGAAATAAACCGATATGTACAGCTCCGTCTATCTTTTCTCTGCGCTTACAATTTTGGCACTGTTCTCTCATTAACTGAGTTTTGCAAGCGTGAGGGCGGGGCCACCTTCTTCCTGTAGCCAATCAAATGAGCCTCTCGCTGACTCTCCAGTTACTCTTATCTGATTGGTCCAATAAACACATCATACCCAAGACATTAATCTTCATTTAGTTCAGGATCATTCTTGCTGTCGGAATGGTAATTTTAACATACACATACCGTAAAATTTTTTATTAAAAATAACAACTTAATTAAAACATGCTCCTTTCATAAGCTGTGTTCCTTTAGGCTAGACTCCCATGTGTTCATACTGAATTGCAAGCCCGTGTTAACATTATTTGGTTTGGTTTGGTTTGGCTTTACATTGAAATGTCATAATCTGCTTACACCAGTGAGCTGATGTTAAACTTTATAATCAAAATTATGTTATGTGACAATGCTCAACACTATGGTATCACTATGGTATCGTTACACGATAGTATTACAGATGATAAATGGTGAATAAGTTAGAGATAAATATTTTAGTAATATTTTGTAAAATCCTCTTAAATTACAACATGTTAAACAAAAAATTATTACTGTTGGTTCTGTTGGTTCAATTATTATTGAACCAAATTTGTGTTTAAAAAATGGATCAGTAGACAGGTTAAATTATGCATGTATTAGGCTAGTGCAGATACTAGACCTTCTTTAAGTATCATCAAAATTACAATATAATATTACAATAAACTAATATATCATATAGCCTGTTAAGGAAGAGAAGAAAACTACACAGCTCAAAATTCAGTATGAGCACATAGCCTAATGGTACACAACTTATAAAATATCATGTTTTAATTAAGTTGTTATTTTTTCACTGTATGTGTATGTTAAAAGTACCATTCCGAGTTTTTTTACACGTACAGATTGGTTCTATGCAGTCAATCCGTTTTGCAGTTCTTTAAACTGTAGTTTTCGCTTGCAAATCACTGTTCACAGGCTTGCAGTGCTTTTGACCGTCTTTTGGCGAAAAAAAAGTGTGCAAAAGTGTAAGCGTGGAAAAATGGAAGTCAGAAGCATGCAGATCATATTTATTGAGATTTAAGGTAAGTTGTAAACACCACATCTGCGCTTGTGTGTACATCTGCCGGCGCCGGCATTTTTTAAATTAACAACGGTTGTTTACGGCGACGCAAAGAATTGTGGGTTATCTGCAGCAGCGAAGGATACACCTCATGCATCCTCC